ACCACGTTCTGGAACACTGCCGTCGAACCATTCGCTGGAACGAGATAATCCCGAACCCCCAAGCGGGCACCATGAGGAGACTGATCGGCACCAGAGTAAGGCTGAGTCTCAGTGCGATGGATACAGTTATTCCAACCCACATACCAGAGACTAGTTTGAGGATAGAAGGTGGCGACCAACTTCTTGTTAACGCCTTGTGAGAGGTGTATTGGAAGAGTGATAATTCGGGGAGTTTCATATTATGCACGCCTTCTTCATGCATCGTAGCTGACGTCTAGGTATGTGTCATCGTTACATAGCTAATGGGAGCACAACCATTCTGTCGACGAGGAAGAGTCAATATGCAGTTTACGCGAAGTTGGAAATGGGAGAACCCACCCTGTATAAGTAGAAAATTCGCCTTACTGCCTGTTCCTCCGCCTATGTTGAAAGGCGGAGAGTATGTAAAGTCTATGGTCCAGAAAAGAGTCAGAGTTTTATCGTAGATGAGGCAAGTCGAAAATTATTGCCTCGCTCTATATCTTCATGTTGGTCGATACCAGCACGCAGCCTTAAGGATCACAGCCTGCCTTGTAATCCAAAGGCGCGGGTTCAAGCCTGAATAGGGACTAGGCGCCCCTCGCAGTAGCCTTAGCCCACGTAAGACTCGTGGTGGTTGCGCGGCAGCGAAGCGTTGATACTACTTACCGGCGTACTGCTGATGCCTATTGTATTTGGCTATCAGTGACAGTTCAAGGTAAATTATTACTACTTTTAACTTACTCAGAGTTAGGAAACGAAAAGGTTCACATGCAGCTAAAAAGTGAACATTGGTGCTGCTTACTGTATACAACATACGAATGGCCGAGATCATTAGTCGCAGAATGCGCATGTAAGGCATTTGGATGACTCATCAACAACAGCAGTAAGTCGGACATTTGAAATGATGCTTCGCTCGTAGAAAGTAGAAGTCACGATTAAACTGCACAAAATAATCTGCCTCGACGAGGAATCGAACCCCGGGTCCCACGAATTGGTGGACCGGGTCGATTCCCGTCGAGCAGATTATGTGTAAGTTAATCCTGACTTCTCTTCTATGAACATTACACCACACACAAAAATCCACAAGTGATGCTTCGCTGTCACACAAACATGAAGACCTGTGAAATAAAGAATAATAGGAGGGAGAGAAGTGGGACTTACTTGAGAACCTTAATGTCCTAAGCAAAGATTCAAGGGCAAGGCGCCTACACCTTGTGTAGACAACATACCATCACAAACAGCTGGCTATCGAGCAAAGATAAGGCGGCATCGGCGAGACAGCTTCCTTACGGCTTTCACTGCCCCGCGTCATAATCAGTCATTACCCCGCAGATAACTCAGCACCAAACACACTTTAAACATGCAATCCAATTAGGAGACGGCAGCAGACGTGCCACTGGTGTCTACTGCGAGCCATGTCCTGTAAAGTCTCGAGCCAAGCACAAGGCGAGTCACGTGCACTCCAGCCCGGAATGCGAGACGGATCAACGGCACCCAGTTTGGTCGTCAATGACTTCATTTCCCGCTGCCAAGTCAACTTCTGTCCACCTCGAGCCTTGCGCCAACCAACACCTGGCAGACTAAACAAGGCCATCCTAGGTAAGCAGTGACCAGACATAAGTAGCATGTGCTCAAATCAATGCAACTTATTCAGCGCTATCTGTTGTTCTACTGAGCAAGAATGATTATCGCTACCTACTACTTGCCTACGCACATCATCGTTGCGGACACGCTGGTGCGACACCAGCAATGCTTCGCAGACAACGATGATCAATGACTTGAAGGCGCCTCAAATCTTCAGACCGGAGGGGCCAAGTCTCAATACCATACAGCAGTACGGTCCTCACGGTGACCTTGTATACACCGCTATTCAGACGAAGGGAAACTCCCTTCTGTCGCCAAAGATGCCGCAGGTTTAAGAAGGCAGCTCTGGCTTTTGCAGTGCGCGAGCTGACGTCAGTTTCTATGCGCCCATCGTTGCTGATGCAGCTGCCAAGATAAGAGTAGTGAGCAACCACCTCGAGTTCCTCCTTAGCTAGGGTCAAGCGGTCATAAAGTGGTGGTGGTCCTGCAGCAACACTGCACTTTGAAGGTGCAAAGCGCATACAAAATAATGGGACCACTCTGGACAAGCTATTTAGGGTTGATTGTGCCGCCACAACATTGTCGAAAAGCAGGACGATAGCGTCCGCATAATCTAGATCGATTAACCTTTCACCAGGTAGCACTTCAACGTCTACATCGTGAGATTCTCCAAGGGAACAATCCATGATAGAATCCACGACGAAATTGAACAAAAATGGGGAAATCGGACAACCCTGAAGAACGCCACTTGTGGTCGGAAAGCTATCCGATAGGACACCGTAGACCCTGACGCGGCCTGTAGTGTTCGAGTATAGGGCACGTAGATGCCCACATATTTTGTGGGAACACCTAGATGCGCAAGTAATTCGAACAGAATCGATCGATCGACTGAATCGAACGCACTCTTGAAATCGAGGAACACAGCTATTGTCTGTCTGCGGTATGCGTGGCGCTGCCCTAACACATGCCGCAGAGTGAATATATGGTCTATACAGCCACGTCCTGTGGGGAAACCGGCCTGCTCTTCCCTAATCCGAGATTCCCGTTCCGCAGTGAAGCGACGAACGATAATCGAGGCCAATAATTTTGTCACAACTGGTGTTAGGTTTATATCCCTGTGGTTAGAACAGTCTGTGCGACTGCGCTTCTTGTATATTGCCACTATGATCGATTCGTTCCAATTAGTCGGGACAATCTCTTACTTCCAGATACATACGAATAGGGTGGTCAGTGATTTGCAGAGGACCTCACCTCCATCCTTAAATAGTGCAGGTGGGAGGGAGTCCGGGCCAGCGGCACGAAAAGGATTGAGGACTGTGATCGCGTTTCGGACCTCGCCCTCCGACGGAGGCTCTAAACTAACCGTCCATGGCTCGTCCTGCATCACCTGAGTAGGAAGAGGTCCGGGAGCAGGAGGCCAGCTGAACTGATCTTGAAAATGTTCCGCCAAATGAGCCATACGGCGCTCCTTATTGTGTATCAGCGCACCCGCGTTGTCTCTGATTGTCGCACTGACGTCTAGTTTCCTGGGACCGGTGGTGCGGATCAGCTGGTAATTGCCTACTGCTCCTGCCTTCTACATTTCCTGAGACCTAGTGGTCCCCCAGGCTCCCTTGTCAACACGTAAGCTCCGCTTTAGTTCGCGCCTAAGATCCCGTCGGGTCACATTGTGCTCAGAACCAGCCTTGAGGTTTCTTCTAGATTCCAACAGGTTCACCGACCTCTCGGATATCCAGTGACTGTTGCGGTGACGATGGATAGTGACACAAACAGATGCTGCTGCGTTGTGCATGGCATCCGACATCCTATTCCACTGAAGTTCAGTGTCATTAGAACAAGACAGCGAGAGTTCGGTATGCAGTGCCTCTTGATAGGCTTGCCTGACCGAGGACTGAGACAAGTTTCTCTGTTGCCAATCGTAGGGGACGCTTGGTGCGCCTCCCGGTAAAGTTCATGGAGAAACGACAGCGTACCAAGGCAAGATCAGAGTCCACACAGGTACTCCAGTACGAGCGGCAATCCAAGATGGAACCGCGCCATCTATAACTTATGGATATGTGGTCAATTTGGGTCCATCGCTGGCCAACTACAGGAGGACGCCAAGTGGCACTTCGGCGCCCACTGTGGCTAAAAGCAGTGCTACTAAGAAACAACTGGTGCTCCGCACACAGTTGCAGCAGACGCTCGCCGTTGTCAGTCCGTTCGGAGTTAAGCCCATAATTATCACCCAGCTGAACTTCTGAAGAGCTCAGACGCCCTACTTGTGCTTTCAAATCCCCAGCAAGTACTATAATATCTGAACCAGTAGCATTGCGTAGTAGCGCGTTCAGTTCGTGATAAAACGTGTCTTTGACAGCATTTGAAGTGCAGTCGGTGGGAGCATAAACGGAAATCACAAACAAACAGCGTTTTGTACTACTTCGTGAATAAACTTTAGCTGATATCGTCAAACGGGCTGCACATAAACTACTGTTCACCGGAATCCAATCAAGCAGCTATGGCACAGCCTTGGAGCTTAGAATGATACCTACAACAGCTTGACCCGTGAGTGCTGTATCGACTTCTCCTGTTGCATGCAACCAATAACGAGAGGATAGGCCGGGTGTAGTTAATTCAACAACCCTTTAGAGTCATTGATCCTAGTTTCGGACACACATCAATACCCAGTGTGTCAAAGGTGCGTGCGAGTGCAGCCTGCTGACCTGTTTGTCGCATAGTGCGAACGTTGAACGTCGTTATGGAAACGGGATAGCGTGGCCTTATAAGGGACTGTTGTCGATAGACGTTCGGTACGTGTCGCGAGAAGGTGGCTGCAGATGGTTCTACTCCAGTGGCACTTCGGTTGCTGTCAGTTAAGCTGGGAATTATAGAAGAAATGTTAGTAATGGGGGTCGGGATGGAAGTTAGAGAAACAGGTGGAAAAGAAAGAAGGGAGGTGCCAGCAGTAGCATGTTTTCGCTTATCCGCCATGCTGTATGCATCAGATAAGGCGACCCTTGATAATCTGCGCGACGGCAGATGCAGGATGAAGTTTATGTTTGAAGAAAATGTCATGGTTGTATGTGGGCTGGGATACTGCCAGGGCGCCCAGACGTAGATAGGAGGACGATTAGGGTCCTCATCCAAAGCCTTTAGCTCAAAAGCCTGTCCCATTTGGATGACTGAATGTGTGTGATCCCCTTCATGAGAGAAACTGTGGAGTACCACAATTCAAATCTGTAGGAGATAAGTTGTGCATTTAATGAACCAAACATAAATGGTGCATAACGGACCCGATTTGACATTTTCGTATCGTGGGTGTTGCGTATGCATATAGTAATCTGATTATACTACGAGCGTCAGGGCACATAGTTACACCCGCATTGTTAACTCTTCTGCCGTTTCTCCCTTCGCAGACAACATCAAAGTCACACGAAGGGTAATCGAGGCACTCAGGCGAATGTGTGTGATAGAACCGGGTGTTGGACCGGATCTGGCATTTTACATGCATGAGATACTGGTGCCACTTAACTTCTACTTCAATCAGATGAAAAATCAAAATGACCAAATAGTGTACAACGAAACGCTGTATTCCGACCTCTACGACCCCATTGATGGGCTTGTCAAACTTTTTCTGAGGATATCCGGACCCGAACTGGACACTGCAGAAAGAAACATAAAAAAAGCGATTCCGGTTTATCAGATTTCTCGTGAACCTTAAGTTACCGAAGACGTTCTCTTGAAAAATGCTTCGGTTTGCCTATTATGTAAATTTGTTTACATTTCAGTTACAGTATTCAACGGAAAGGACTGCTTTCAAACTCAATGGGTGGTGTGGGCAAATGCTGTTAGATAGCAGGATTCTTGGCAGAATTGAAACGCATTCATCACTCACAGTAGACTGCTAGAAATGTAGACTGGAAGTTGGTGGGATATTTTGAAGTACTCGTTGTGTAGATAGATTCGACGCGCAATTTCAATGTGAACTGCATTTCACATTGAAGTGAACCTTGATCAATTCGCTCGGTGGGGTTGTAACTGATGAAGGAGATGAATATTGGGTGTTGCCTACACGAAAACACTGCGCGCTACATCCAGTATTAATCTGGGAGTTAATCGCTTTAAAAAGATAGTTCGATGATTAGTGATCCACCCGTCCAAGGACCACATAGGTACTAAATTAGTTTGCATCTCTAAGGGAAGCCACTGGACACGTCCTATCCGGTAACTTCGAAACGATACAGAGGTCATGTCTTCCAGCTGGAGTTTACGCCTTGTTTATGCGGGCTCCCGGGTCAGTAGTTTCACACTGCTCCAACGAATAAGGTAGACGTTAATGCGATAGTTTAGTGGCTCCGCAAATCCTGCATATACTGGCTCAAGAACTAGTTCATCTGTCGGGAAGAACGCTCAACAACTGTAGGTTACTTAAAACACAGTAAACGGTTTAGAAATACTAAGAAATTGTTGAATGACTGTTTACAAGAATACAGATGCTTCGGACGTACGGGAAAGATTCTTTCACGTTACTTTTGTGTACTTGGTTATCCATGCCTCATACGTACAACTGTGTCCTAGGGTTGTGGGCTCTAATGGAACAATACATCACCAACATGACATTTCAACTGAAGGTGGAAAACACACTTCAAGCATTGTGCCGTAATACATAAAGATGAGTCATAGGGAAAAAGTAAGGTGCTGAAAATAATAGAATGCTAAAATACAGGCGACATACTATTTAGTAACATATTATGTGCCAAGAGGAAGATCGTGGTTTGAGGATGAAGATAAGTGGGATGAGGAGGGACAAAGTAACTCACAACACAAACGCCATCGAGGTCGGCTCCTTGCCATGTTAACTAGTGTATCCAACCGAACGTGTTCATCGTCCTTCGGACCCCAGCGAGGCAGTCAGGACACACCAACGGACGTCAATTTCGAAGTGAGGGATTTCATTCCTCTTGATCAAGTAACCGCTTGACCACTCTTCCTCTTCCATCCACACTCCGGTGCAAAAACAACCCACGTCGCGGCAGTCGGTGGGCTGGAATGCGCAACACGTGGCCTAGCTCTCGGAGACTGGTGCGTGATATAATGGTGCTGAGTGATTCACCCGCTGTTCCTGCACCAAATACACAACGCCGAACACGCTCATTGATCACTTAATGTTCTCACCAGATATGAGCTAAGTTGCGAAGGCAGTGATGATCGAAGGTGACCAGCCTCTTTAAGTCTGTCGACTTAATGGGCCAGGTTTCGCAACCGGACGGCTGCATTGTGAAATCTGCCTTTCAGAACGAGAATGGCAAAGCTTCGCAATAGAGCATCAAGCATTTGCCATGCGGTTTGTGATCTTATCTTCCGTTCCATTGGTGCTGATATAGCTGTCTATATACTTGAAGTTCTCGAAGACTTCTAACTGATCCCCACCAAGGGTCAGCGCAGCGGTGGATCCCTGCCAGTCCTAGAGAAGAACTTTGCAATTCGAGTGTGCAAAGCATAACCCAAAACGATTGACAGCCAGTACTAATTTGTCCAGTGTCACTTGGCACGTTTGAAAATTATCACAGATGACAGCAGTATCGTCAGCATACTCCAGGTTAAGAAGTCGTTCATCTGGGAGCAGCTCCACGCCTCGCACGTCGTGTCCAGTGAACCCAGTTTCCATGATCTCATCGATGGAGAAGTTAAAAAGCAAAGGTGACATGCGGGATCCTTGTCTCACACCGCTGGAGATATTGAAGGACGGCGATAGCTTGTCGTAAGCCCCCACTCTGCCGGAACTGTGCGCGTGCAGCGCTCTTATGACATTTACATATTTATCAGGCACACATTTCCTCAGTAGACGGTCCCAAAGGGCACATCCATACACCGAATTGGAGGCACATTTGATTTCGAGGACACAACTACGGTGGCTGTCTATTAAATAAGGCGTGCCTCAACAATTGACGTAGTACTAATGAGTAGGATATTAATTGTGACTTTTAAGGTTTTCGTCCCAGTGGCTCACAATCTACATAGCGTAGCCTATTCCGGACGTTGTGTAGATGTGAGCAATACACCCAGGACTTCGACGAAACCCGGCTTGCTCCTCGTGAATCTGGTTTTCACGGATGAAAGCAGGTCTATGAAGAACCACAGATGCAGATATCTTAGAAGCAAAGGAACAATACGAAATGCATGCATCTAGTATTTTTTATTTTCTCGATGAGCCTTTCAGACCGTTTACAAACCGGGACGAGTAGGTAATTTAATTCAAGTTGAGAGAGAGCGGCTGCTTACTGAACGACGGTGTAAGTACACCAAGTGAGCAAACTCTGACAAAACAAAGGTGCCACGCTAATTGAAGTAAAATATAAATTTAGTTCCTTCAGTACTTATATGAGCAAATGATCAAAATCAATGCTTTAATCGTCAGTAGGCATCAAAGGTCATGGAAGCAGTCGACTTTTCGCCACAATGATTAAAGAGACATAATTTAATCAGCGCTTTGTAACACTACCGCTATGTTCACCTTAAAAAGTAACTGAATATTTTAAACAGATTGCATCTATAATGCTCGGGTAAAGGTACAGCAATTCGAAGGGGGCGAAAATTGAAGACATAGATTCACTAGAAAATACGATGTGGGTGCGCATTGCAGAAAAAAGGTTTTGCGCTTTGCATGACTGGTTGGAAGATGTAAAACACTAGAGTGCGTTGCATCCTTAAATACAGCAAGTTGGGGCAAAGAAGTTTCTGATTGCATTCAGAATTTTGTAACTGAGATCTTGTACTCGTTGTCCCTACTACAAGAACACTGTGATCAGCAGAGGGTTGCAGCAGTAATACAGGTAACCATGTAGTCTTTTCAACTAAATCGAATCGAGCTACAGCTTCTGACCGAATTACTTCTAAGCTACATTTGAGTGATAGCTAGTTGTTTTGCCTGTTACGTATCTCTGAGCTCATTTCAACAACCAGCACACTTGACTCCACGATTAAGTGTAGACTACGGAAGAATTTTTCATGTTTGATGATAGCTTAGCTAGGCCTGGTCTAATTCCAGATTCAGGAGGACAGTAGGCCCCTACCGGACTTCGACATTCGGAAGTTACCATGACCAGAAAGATAAAATGGACGGAACCCTCAGTACATGGCTTGTAGTCAAAGCTGCATCACAAGACGTGTGTCATATAACATCAAGCAGTCTATAAAACAGAATATTTGCGTAGTAGCACATTGTATCCTTAGTTCAAGTGATCACCCACTGTGGATTTAGGACATAAAAGTCATACACAAGTTGATCATAGGTAATCATCATTGAAGTGCAAGCGTGACAGTGTTGTGAGGCGTAATGCGTGTCGTCTGGCAGTTGCGTTGTATTGCCCAATGCCCAGAGGTTTTAGTGGACCCAGATTGTTACGCTAAATTGTTCGCGATTTTAAAGTCTATACGAGGCCGGGGTTAAGAACCACTAGGCGAGCATGATGAGACTTTAAACTTAGATTTCAAATTCGTTGAATAGGGGAAACTGCCCAAACATCTGCGTCGTGGAGAATTGTCTGCCATTCGTCATTAAACTAGGAAGCAAACCTGTTAGTGCTCCTGAATCACAAGTTCACTTTATCCATGTAATCTAGCCGCTTTTCAGATCAATGTAAAACGTAGTTTGTCATACCTTGGCAAAAGAGAGGTAGTAAACGCAAGATTGAGAACTACCGGTCAATTCATCACAATCCAAAAATTGCCGGGACACTGAAAACCTGGCCAGAAAATGTCTAATTAACCTTATCAATTTATCGGGCCTGATGAAAAATTTATAGTATGGTTTTCTTGACAATCGACGATGCACCACCTGTAAGTTATATTATCTGAATTACATTCCAGGATCCTGTAGGGAACCGTAAAATAAGAATACCAAGTCAGTCAGAGAACAGGTTGACCTCACATAAAAAAGCTCCTAGTTCTATTCGGTGTCGGAGGAAAAACAGTTCATGAAATATGCAGAGGTTTTCACACATATATTCCGACAGCGGATCAGTCAGGCAGTCGAGTGCGTAGTTCCCAACAACTTGCAGCAAAGAAGACAGAACCACGCGAGGGCAAGCTTGGAGAAGAGGTGTACATGAGTAATGTTCATGGACAGCAGCGAAATATGAAAGTGTAAGCATAAAAAATAAGCAATCTGTTACGATCACTACAATCCGTCGATTCCGGCTATGCATTAGTAATTCCATATCTGGGCATACACCAAACGCTCGACCAGGTACCTCACATGCTGTTGTTAAAATCCTTGAGGCCATTGGAATCCGCGTGTCATTATTAGGTTGGCTATCGTCATACATGAGTCATCACCACCATGGAGTTATTTTATGTGACTATGGCGCTTTTCAACACCCTATTACTAGTGTATTCGTCCAAAGGAAGGTGCACGGTCTTTCGCTGTTCCTGTTCCACATGGATGACGCCACAATGTCCACGAAACAAAGCAGACCAATTTTATTCAAAGATGACATGATTATCGCCTATGAGATTCAATGTGACAAACTTAACGGAGCGTTGTTACCTAGTTAAGATAAGTTGTATTCTCCTAAGGTACATTGTCCCTTGTGCATGATGAACCATTCAGCTAAAAAAGCAAGCACCATTACTTATGTCAATTCCATCTCCGAAAAAATGCATATGATGCACGCTGTACCGACGTTTCGCTGCCACTCAACCACCAGCAGTTGCGCATCGGTTAGGCATACTGCGAGCGTCGATGAGAATTTCAATGGCTGGTGGATTGGACGTGGATGACAGTATCAATGGTCAGCCCGCAGTCCTGACCTTTTATCATGCAACAATGGATTGTGAGGCATGAAGAAAGAAGACATCAGAAAAACACGTTACAACAACACAGAAAAACTTAAAGCTGCAATCCGTGTTTCATTGAAATCGATTTCTCCACCTGTTCTGCAACGCATCTCAGCACGCACTTGTAGACGCATTTGTCCATGTGCTGAGAATGACGGTGAACACACAGACACATTGGATCCATGACAATGTGGTCATAGGCTAGCACATGTTTGTTTCAATAAATTTCATTGATCAGCGAAGAGCCCTTCTTTTCCTAGACAAGTATTATGTACAATTTTTTTTACATTGATACACTAATTGACGTAGGTATATGTATAAACGTGGAGTGTGCGGGGAATTTGTGGCCACCTTGTAGATGGATCTCTAAGGCGTCGATCAGTTTGATCGAAGGGTGGAAACAGGTTCCGATGGGCACTGAATTTCAGCGTGTCCGTAACTCTCGGAAACGACGACTGACAAGGAGTTTTCGAGTTGATCTGGAACGTTGGTAAGTGGGAAGCGGCTGTGATATGAAGAAAGTCAGTACTATTGGGAATAGCCGAGTGCCATTCTAGATAATCCGGAACACAGATCTAAGAAAGCCATCAGTCAGTGATCCAATAACTGAGAAAGATGAACAGTTTATGAATTCCCAGCCGCGTTGACTAGCCAGTTGTGAGGAACATTTCGAAGAGTGGTTCAGCATGCTTGGTGCGACAATTCCGCTGGCTAAATAAGCTGGGCCGATGTGGGAGGTTGATGTCGCATTGCGCACCTTTAAGGAGATTCGACATGAGCATACGTTATTGTAACGAAACAAGGTTCCTGGACCCGACGATCATGACTGTCGACACCGGGTAAGGATCTACGGGGAGCTCTCCTAAGTTCCCCAAGGCAAGTGAGGTTCGCCATCGTCGTCCTAAATCTATTTTCCTCCTCAAGTTTGTGATTCGAAATGACGATAAATAACTGCGTTCTTTCGGGCACTTCCGGAATGGAGGTGCTGCCAAGTGAGGGAAGAACAAACCTTGATAACGCGGACGACATAACTCTGTTGGGTCCGACGCAACGGTTATTCAAGCTGTACTTGAACGACTGACGCGTAACGCCGCATGTCACGGCATGGGTTTCCACCTTCAAAGTGCAAAGTACTGTTGCGGGACTGGACGGACACACCTCCGGTTCTAGTTGTCACCGAACAACCACTGGAAGTGGTGGATCGATTCACTTACCTAGGTAGGTGTGTCACTTCTGGTGGTCACATAAGTGAGGAGGCTACTTTACGCATGAACAAGGCCCATGTGGCTAAACTTCATTTGGAAGCATCGGGATATCCGATTATCAGTGAAAGGAGTGGTGTATAAGGCCCCGAAAAGGTCGCTGTTACTGTATAGGTCAGCAAGGTGGTCAGTTCGCAGTGAAGACATTAAATGATTGACCGCGTCTAATCTACGATGAATTCAGAGTATTGCTCACATCTAGTGGGAACATCGGGTGGGCAATGTTAAGGCCCGTCAGTTGCCTTATGACAAGAAGCCTTCTGATGCCTCACTAGAATGTTTAAGAGATCTTAATTGCTTATGTTGGCTAGGTCATTTTCTTTGCTTGCCCAATGACCAGTTTTCTCGGTATGCATTATAAGCTGTGGCCGCGAAGTGGCCAGTTGATGAAGCGGCAAAAAGGCGTGAAGAAACTGACTGAACTATCCAGCAGCTAAAGGGCTAATGAACAAAAACAACCAAATAGAATGGCGACCAAGTGATAAGTATACATTGACAGAAAGGAAGATAAGTGGTAGAGAAAAATAGGGGAACATGAAAGCTGAAATCTGGAAATGCAGCATCTGTGTTATCCATTCAATTGTTCAGCAACAGAGTGGCCAGTTTAGAGTTCTCGGAAGTTCTCGGTGTGCAATCGACTGAGCTGTCGGAAGAGGCGTTTTTCCCTATAAAAGCGGAATAAAACAGATAATGTGTAGGAATGATCGGAAAGTCAACGGTTCTGAATTATTGCAAGATGCCTGTAGCGACAGAGTCAAGGCGAACGTACCTATGAGTTGAGCATAATTCAATGGTTCCAAAGGCGTGAGATAGAAGTCTTCGCGAGGAACTTTAATGACTTTTCCGGTATTTAATCGAACCTGAAGTGGATCGACGGTAAAAAAAAGTATACAGCGATAAGAAATATGAAACGAAGGATTGAAATTATTTGATGGGATAAAACGGAGGAACGAGAAAAACGACATAAGCAAAGAACTAAAGGAATATATCGAGATGTGACCTTGAGGGTAGATGAATAGCCCCGGCAGAATAAAAATAAACTGTAAAAACTAATAAGGGCAACGCAGTGAAAGAACGAATAACGTAAGCAACGATTAACTACCGAAAACGGAACCACAATAGCGTAGCGCTGTGTGAAAACATTCGCACAACGACCAATAATAACGGCCACGACCGCTTGGTACGTCTGGTTGTGGAGTGAAAACCTGTGATAACTGGATGATAGATCATTGGCGATGGGATGCTTAGAACCACGTAGAGTTGAGCGCAGCGGCGTGTTCTTGCTGTGAAAGAGGACCGTAAGTTGATTTGAGTTAACCGCTCTGAGATATGTACTGCAAGTAGTAACAAGAACATATAGACGAAATGTTTGTGCAGCTTATATATTCAACACGATCAATATACAACTGGCAGTGCCACAACACATGGTAAAAGAAAACAAAAAGAGGAAAAACAGGTAGCCAGTGAAGGAGTTGAGAAGGTTTATGCGTTGTGTGGGCTGAATTATTCTCGGATGCCCAGACCGATGGAGAGGGCTGACATAAGAGACCACACCCCAAGCTTTTGGTTATATAAACGCAACCCGCAAGACAGCAGCGTAATTCACGGAGAACGCTAACCGAGAGGGTCATTCGCCTTCTTGGTGCCCGGTAGCAGTCCACAGAGAAGCCGGTGGTCAGCACGGTTGTTCATTCGCCATCCGTTAGGTTCTCCTCTCTGGTTACAGCAATGAGCAATCGGTGATCCTAAAGTCGGTTACATTGGCTTCGACACGTGCTGTATGAGCTTTTGTGGTATTTGATGAGAAATCAGGTGACCAGCACAGAACTCGCAACGTTCTGAAACGCTGCAGCGATTGTCCGTAACTGCTTATTCATCTCGCCTACAAAGCAAACGAGACTTATTCGCAGTTACCTAAACTAGGGAGGTATTCCACAATCCGCAACCTGGGGAAGCGCACGATAGCGTACAGAACCACCACGGATTCACACAGATGGATTGAGGAGCTGTGACAAAAAATTTGGCTTCGAACGAGCACCGAAACAAGGTGCATCCTGTTACCATTGCCATCCTTTAATACTGCAGCATCTTTTATAGAAACATGCGTATGGGAGAAGGAAACGCTCCGGTTTCGCAAAAAAGACTTGTAAACTAGCTGTGCGAAGAACTAAGATAGCTATTCCATCTACCTCCTTTCTCATCAGATATACTGTCCTGCGGAATAACCAACCAGACACAAACTGGTCTTGTGTAAATGCAAGAACATATCGCACGAAGCTTGGAAATTTCTCGGACCAGAGCTCACTAAGGGCCAAGTGTTTGTCAGGAAAAGCAACAAATGAATTTTTTCAAGATGAATCAAGGAACATATAGCTAAAGAGAATAGCTGCTGCACTAAACTTAGTACCGACAGAAACCACGTGTTTAAGATTACCTTAATGGTGCAGACAACAGTGAACATATATCTCACTCAAACATGACCATGATCACAGTTGTAATAATGATCTGTCCTAATTCCAGGGACGGTTTCTAGCACCTCCGATAAATATGTATATCATTACTAGTAAAGGACTCCCATCGGCGGGAAAAATGTGGCTGAATAGAGGCGCGATGCAAAGAGAACGAAGGTTGTAATGTGAGAAAATAAACGCGAATACAGCAAGGCCATCGAGGACCGGTTACTGTGTCGTATCAGATAAGATTCTCAAATGCTCGCGTGTTGGTTCTTGAGGGCCCTCCTTCCAGAGAGATGGCATGCGGCACATTTTACTCGTTTAATACATCCCTTTAGTGGTTCTTTGAATGGTGTTACTGTTGTTTCCTTCAACAGTTTACAAGTTTGCGTGTTGACGCTAAACTCACCGCAACACGCTTCAAGTCGGACAAGTCCCAACGCATTTAGAAAACACAGGACGGCAGTTTCGTCTCATTGAGACTCGTCAGTAGCGTGTATCACGCAGCTGCACCAGGAACCGAACGCTGGAAACTTTCATTCCCGGCGGTTTATGCTATATCGCAGTTACGTAGTGTCGACGTCATGGAGTCGGTTTCGGGTGGAGCCACGATGTGCACTACGGGCGAGTTACAATAGGATGAAACCGCTGTCTAGTGCTTTTCTGGATACGTGGGAGACTGTTCAAATGAGAGTTGACTAAAACGAACAATTTATAAGCGCCATCAAAACCCCATGGTCATTAGTAGTCAAGTTCCCAATTTCCATTACCTTGAGAGCAATATCGAAGGATATGATGAATAGAAATCAACAATGAGGATATTTTGAAAGCTGAACCTGTCAAGAGAACCTGCGCACACAGAGGCTTCGAGAGCCGGTTCTTACGCTCCAACACGCAGAAGTTTGGCACGATGCAGTCTGGACTAATTAGCAAACCAATGAGACCCAGTTAATGAAAGCAATTCACCTCGAAGTCTATCTATGAGAATGATATACGTGAAGTCTGTCAGGGAGCGCACACTTCGGGCAACCAATAAGTGTTTACAGACATATAGTAGTTGCTGCTTTCGATGATGCACACATTATACTTCTTCACCGCAGCTGGACTACACCGACTTGCACCTAAACTAAATTCTCTTTAGCTGGATAAAAAGTATTCCCTTTATTTGATTTGCTCAGTTCTGTTATTTCACTGTGTGTCCATTTTCTTTCAAACCATATGTTGGTGTAGTTGCGCTTGACGTGAATGTTGACGAGGTGCCTATCTGTCCAACACAACGCTGAGTACCGTCTCTAGGAGATTGCTGATCGTTGCTGCGGCGAAGAGATGCACGGTTCTCGTGGCCGTGTGAGGCTCAAAGAGTGTTCCCATGCAGCCAAGATGGAGCGGACTACGGCTAAGCCACCGCCTTGTATACGTCTGGTGAGCATGATCCCATGCATAGATAAACAGGAAAGTTGTTGTTATGCATGTTGAAGGAGTGTGGGCCGGCACCGAAGATGAAAGGTGACTCCCGTGCACATGCCTGCCGGTCCTATTCCTTCGGATTTATACTGGATATGGGATGTGTGGATGGAGTTGTGAGTGGTGCAATGCAAGTCACTCATGGTTCCTACGTAGGCGCAGGCGTACTGTGGTTGTCCAATAGAGGCCAAAGTGACAGGCAAAACCGGAAGTGGATGCCGCCAACAAGTAGTTGTTGGAATCCAGGAACTTCTAGCTATTAGGTTGTTCAGAATGTAATCTCATATATTCGTTTTATTTTTATTATTAGTATTATTTTCACAACCAAAATCAGACTTAATCCGCAAAATGATTATATATTTTGACAGGTGCTATAGCAAAGGCTTGCTTGTGAAAAAGTTCGATTAATTTTACGCGGTAGATTTTGATAAATGCCGTTTCAAATATGGGGAGTGGAAAGAAGCGGTTTCGGCATATTTTTCTCTTTTACTATCAAAAAGGTAAAAATGCAGTCCAAGCAAGAAAAAAATTATTGGATGTCTATGGTGATGTATTGACAGAACGCCAGTACAAAAACTGGTTTACAAAATCTCAATCCGGCAATTAAATGATTACTCGTGAGTAGCAGGATTTTAGTTGCAATTTGTTGAGGTATTCAGCCCAGCAGTTCACAAGCTACACAGCACAGCCTACTCCGGAAAAGCACCAGACGCGTTTCGCGCTATCGAATGATTAATCAAGTGATTAACTGATACAAATCGGCAAATAACAACTACTGAGATCGCTGAAGATAAAAGGTATCGAGGTTGATCGTTCATGATCATTTTAAACGCCTAGATTTAATCCTGAAGCTCGACATATGGGTTCCTTGTGTTTTTACAGAAAATATTGGTACCATCGCGTTGACGTTGCGAATTGCTTCTCAAACAACGAGAAAATAATCCATTTTTGAAGTGCATCAGCTCTGGGGGAAGAGAAATGGGTTGTCTACAACAATGTTAAACGCAAGAGATCATGGAGTAAAAAGGATGAACCGGCTCAAACCACTTCGAAAGCCGATATTCATCAAAAAAGGTGATGCTATCTGTTTGGTGGGATTTCAAAGGAATCGTTTTTTAGATTCTACCGGACAACATAACGATCAATTCTGAAGTGTATTGTCATCAGCTGGACAAATTGAATGATTTACTTAAACAAAAAAGGTCAGAATTAAACAACAGAAAAGGTGTAGTGTACCACCAAGATCATGCAAGACCTCATGCAAGTTTGGTAACTCGCCAAAAGCTTTTACAGCTTAGATTGGATACACTGCCACACCCATCATACTCTTCAGATCTGGAACCTTTCGACTATTATCTGTCCACGTCTCTGCAAGAACTTTAGAAGGTAAAAGTTTTATTTTAAATAAGAATGTAAAAAAATCGCCTGGATTAGTATTTGCCAACAAAGAACAAACGTTTTATGAGCGTGGAATCATGCTACTGCCGGAAACATGGCAAAATGTATTGGACCAGAATGGACAATATATAATTCAATAAAATATTTATTAACTATAAGAAAGGCGTCCTACATTTTTATACAAAAAACGAAATAACTTTCCGATCAATCTCTCGTGAAGCATTCATTCTGACCTCATCTTTGGATATACACATTATTGTGGGGTGCTCAATAAAGGTTTCGTCTACTGATCTAGTAAGTCGGGTGGTTTGGATTGCGTGATAGCAAAAGATTATCCGTACGGTCAATGGATACCACAATCGAATCTGATAATGGACGATTTCTGTGATGGAAGTTAGTGCTGCAGTCAGTTTTAGCAGCGCAGGCATCAATTGAAAAGCCAAACATAAACATGATGCTCTAGTACTAACCGACGTCCAATATGCCGATAATAGCGAGCATTACTAATAATAATTTTGCCGATGAAGAACATGCTAATTTCCCCATGTGAATTTATTGCAGCTAGATGCGCTTTCACGACTGTGTTAGTGCAAAAAGATACTAACGTCGGTTTCAAATAAGGATAGAGAATTTTTTTAAAATGGTGATTGAGATAAGAAAGGTAAACTAACTTCCCAAAGCTCCGGGGTGGTACCTTGGAATGAACCTACGTATTCCAAGTCGTCAACCCAAAGGACTTTAACGGTGGACCCCTTTTTTGGTGGACCGTGTTTGCGCCAATCGACATCCTGTAACAAATACGGGGACTCATGGTTAAACGTGAACGCAAGCATGATAAAGGTTACTTGGCAATAATGGTAAAAGCATCATGTCACACAATTCTCGCTTTGGAGATACAAAAATAGAACAAAGTCAAGGACGGCTTTCAAATCGAACTGAGGTTTGTAGCTCAAGACAACAGAAGACAAACGGACAACAAATGTAGGCGTACACCACATACCAAGTATTCCGGAGGAGTATCCCTTGAAAAAGTACCGTCAGGAAAGGCAACACGGCAATATCTAGGCGTAACGAGACGTTTGGCAACAGCTGGTATCAATTCCGGGGGATTAGAGGCCAGTCGGACAATTATGTTGTCCCCAGCACGGACAACATCGCTGTCGAATTGACCATGGATCTAATGGTAGTGAAATCAGACAGAACGCATTAAACAGTACCGTTGTAACTATTCAGATGGGGGTAGAAAACAATTGGAAAATAGAGAAAACATGTTTAATTATTTCAAGTAACGATATAAGAGAACCCATGCAGAGTGACAAAGCTATTGGAGATGATGGCAACAGGCAAGTGAGAAGCCGGAACCTTAGTTAGTCTGATACATAATGTGACGTCTCAAAGTACGTCAAGCGGATGTGGCATGAGTAAATGAAAAAATGGAGACTAGGCGAAAAAAGTTAGTGTATTTTAAAATTAGAGGCAGGCATAAGAAAATAAAGGTTTAGTGTAAATGCATGATAAATAATCTGGGAGGTTGTATCAACCCCCTTGAGGTCGAAGACCATATCACGAACCGTATAGCAAAAGCCCTAGGCGGCTTTTGTTAACTTCACCAGCTATAGCACCGGCGCGATATCACTCTCTCCCTGAAGGGTAGAGGGTACAGTAAAGCCGTCAGTTCAACTCTCCTTTAGGGTTGTGAAAGCTGGCCCATTAAATTAGCAGACATAAGAAGGCTAGTTACGGTCGAACACCGGTGCCTTCGCAGTTTGGCATACATCTGATGGGAACACTGCGTGAGCAACGAGCATGCTCGACGTCTAGTTTATGGCACAAGAATTTGAAATGAACTGTTCACCACCGTTATTTCAAGCACCACGGTCCGATGGCTGAGCAAAAATGTTGCGCATGCCAGCCCACCGGCTAGCACGACGTAGGTTGTTTGCACACCAGGCATGTGGATGGAAGATGAGGAGTGGCCTGGCGATGACTTGGTCGAAAGCAATTAAGGCCTTTACTTCGAAGTTGATCTCGGCTGGAGTCCCTCGGCTCCCTGGTTGGGGTCCGAAGGACGATGAACACGTTTGGCTGATACACTTGCTGACATGGCTAGGAGCCGACCTCAGTGGCGTTCCTGTGGTAACTTTCTTTGTCCCTCCCCATCCCGCTTAGCCCCCCTCCAATCGCGATCTCATTTTTTAGCATAATACAAATTTTGTTTGATAAAAATATTTTGCCGCATAGTAGCCGGCTAGGAGCATTCCGAAACGATGTCCATCCGTTACTGATAGCTCAGCTGCCGTGCACCTACTGTAGATTTCTATTGTTTACTTTCCTTATGTGTTACGGCACAGTGGCTGAGGTGTAAAGCGATGATGATGAGTAATCAACGGGGATAACGAGATACGTTGGGCTAAAATCATTCAACTCGTTCGAGCACTGAAGTGCGGTTGATACGGCAGTTTGGGTTCGCAGGGCCATAGCAACGAAGTGGATAACGGTAGGAAGAAAAAAGAGGGGGGAAACAAATAAAGCAAAGAGCAATTGAATAGTGGAATGAAGAATAGCGTTGACCGAATCAATTTTAGAGAGGAAGAGTCACATGGCTAATCCTTTAGGAACCCATTTGTCATTTGTGAGGCGTTTGGTGCATTCTTTACAGCCTCGATGATGCCTGAATCGGACCCCAAACCTGAATGGGCTCAGCGTACAACGATCAAAAGCCTATGGGATGTTGAATTTTGCTCAGAAGTATTCAGCAACAAAGAAAGCATCAAACTTTCTTTTCGGTTGGACTCCAACGGCATCCTCCCCTCAATTGCCATGAAAATGCGTAGACCCGACTTACTATTACGTTGGTTGAAAATGTTCACCTTATCGTTTGAAACTAGACACCTTGCAAATCATCATCCCACGAGATAGAAGCGGCCCCAAACATGAAAAATGGTCAATCACTAACCGATTAATCATACATTTACCATCGCCAGTCTGTTTGAAAAATTAGTCAAGAAAACTTTGATGGAGTTCCTTAATTTCATGAACCTATATAACACATCATAACATGGTTTCCTTGATAGACGTTTCTGCACGATCTGCCAGCTACACTACATTAACGACAGTTCAGAAGCCATAAACTCCGGTTGTGCAATGAAAATGCTATTTTTGGACTTAGAGAAAACATTTGACCGTGTACCACACTAACAGATGTTGAAAAAGGTTGAATCCTTTGGAATCCGGAACCCGCTTTCAATTTGACGTTCCTCTTAACTTAGCAATCGGTTTCCAATAGTCACTTCGGGTGACCATCACTTATCACCACGCCCAATAACCAGCAACATAATCCAAGGAACCTTACGTGGCCTTGTTTTTTTCTCTACATCAATGATTTTTGCATGTCTAGCAACACTGGCTAACTCTTTCTATGTGTTTAAAACATCCAGATTGTCTATAAACTCCGCCGTGATGAGAATCAGGACACATTAATTTTGATTCATTGACTATATTTACTCCCTTGAAGAAGTAGTCCGACAAGTGGCCGAGAAAATGCTCGGCTGAAATATCAAGCACTAGGTCATATGATTGCTCGACTCTCGAATGATTAGTTAAAAGTAATAATAAAAGTATGTCCATAAGGCAGTCTCTTCGTGATCCTAGAATCCCGTATTTTTCTGAACAAGCCCAATAGCAAATAGCCCGAGGCAACCACTCTGTGGCTAACATATGTCAAACTGGAGTTAGATAAAACCTTCACACTTTCTATCCTCGAATAGCGCAACTTCATCGATGGCCGCATACAAAAGATGAGCAGGAAAGCTACGGAGATTATTCGACAAACATTTATCCAGTAGTACAACTATTGAGCCTCTCTGCCTACGACGTCTGAAGCAAAACTTGATGCTCCTTAACAATTTGGTAGATTAGAAAACGTACTCCTACCTGTCAAATTTAGAGTTGAATACACATCAAGGATTCCGAAACAAATACTCACTACCTGTGACAAGGGGCAACAAACGACCATGCGGTCTAACTTTTTCCTCAACAGATACACCGCTTTATGGAGCAGTCTGCCAACAACAACAATCGGAACATGTGAAAATCCTAAAGCACCACACACTAAACCCGACACTTGCTTGGATCTGAAAGTGGCACTATCCATATTCTCGTTGGACAAATCACCTTATGAAATATTCCAGGATGGATTAAAAATAGGTAAAAAGCTAAAAATTGAAGTATGATAATTTCTGTACATACTGATCCGTTTCGCACATGTTAAAGAAAGTACGTATATATAATTAAATACAATAAATAAACATAATATGGCAGGTGGAGTAAGACGGCAAATCCAGCATGCGGACGCCCCCGAGGATTATTCAGAAAGTGATTAAAACAGGATGTCAATTGAGAAAAGGCTAGACTTCCCAAAAATTACCCTGGGTCGACCAGTTAAATTGTAAACGGCGCGCACAAATCGGTTTCTGTCGCACACCAGTGATACGACTGGCCGATCTCACAAGGTCTTTGGATGACTTATAGACACTCAGGAGTTCTTCATTAGCTGTTGCCTGGGTTGGCGTCAGACCTCGTTTAGAAGCCTTGGCATTGTATCCGGTCTGGGATGAGTCCTCGTCCGCTGATTGCAGTCAGCGGACGGTTTTCAACCACAGAAACGGTGGACGATCGCTGGCCACGGCCCGGCAGCTGCCCATGTAGCGCGACACGGTTTTTGTAACCCACCAGCGTTCGGTTGACCTCACGGTCATCTGTGTGAAATATCCAATAACAATGGAACGTCCATGCCGCGGTTGGCCAATTGGCTATTAATGGACTTTAAACACTTACGCTACAGTACGCAAATCGCACGTACCCGAGTAGGCACTCCCTGCCACCCGCATTAAACACCCAGCAAATATCATAGATTATTCCTCGCGCACCCGAAGTGGCAAGCAGTAGGCCCCGGAACAATCCGCTGATCCCCTGTGAACAGATGAAAGCCACCCGTATTAACTTTCCGCACAATGAAGCAGGTCTGTTTTTCGTAATCCATGACTGGCCACGCAAATTCGTGGCGCTATGTTAGCAGGGTGGATCCCCTAGGAGGAAATACAGAAATTCATGATAAGAACTCAAGTTTGCAAAGAGATCCCTTTGCAATACTTCTCATCAGATAGACTCAGGCATAAGAATGTAAAAACAACGCAGTAATCCAGTGAAGAACGGACTGAGAACAGGTGACTCGGGAGCATTTGAAGAACGCTGCCACATTCGATCGATACTCTGATCGAACAACTTAAGGTAGGCATTACGGCAGCCAATGGCGCGTAAAGATCGCACTCCGTTGCCGCCAGTGATCGACGCACAGGAGTCGTCACATGAGCTTGTTTGCACAACTCCGGTTGCATCGCTCTGGTGGCAACAGCCTCAGTCGTCCTCAGGAGGCGTCGCCTAAGCATTTTGCGGGTCCGGTTGGGCACAGTGTAGAAGGCTATGAATTAGTCAGCTGGTCGGATTTCGTGTCCCCTATGGAACAAGTGCTCCATGTTGGCACTGTTAAATCCCCCGACAACACTCCTTCTTGGCGACCCCGGGCTGTGCTTAGCCATTTGTTTTGGCAAAAGCCTCGTCGGATGTCCAATGTACCATGCGCCACAGGTGCAAATAAATCGATAATGGAATGTACTTCTTGGGTTGGACCGCGAAGCAATCTTTAAGTCGTTGGATAACAAGCGGAGTAGTCTGTGCCACAACTAATGGATAAGCTGCTGGATGGGCTTTCGCTACTACAGTCAGTAAATCGAGGGAGACATCCTCTCTGAACGGCACGTCGAGAATGATATCCTTTTTAGGAACGGTCATACGTGGTACTTGAATAGATCGTTCAAAATATTCATCTCACTTTTGCATAAAAGGACGAACCAAGAAGGATTAAGGAAGACGAAAACTAGCAAATGCTTACTGGTGTGTATTCCATCTTGTGTGAGTCGCATGCCAGGTAGAACATGTAGGGGTATAGCTTCGAACCGATTGTAACGCCAGCCATTTGGGCACAGGTCACATGATACCGAGTGTGGCAACTAGCGAACAAGCATCGAGCAAGTGGGAGGTAGCCTCGATTGGGTAGTTGACAAACACAGCATAACTCAATCGGCAAGACGCTTTTCCTTCGTTTCCGTTGAGTGGAGCCGTCAGTATCCGATTGGGGAGAGTGTTGTGTCAATGGAGAGTTGGAGAGTTCGCTATCTCCTTTGAGCTCCGGAGAAATGAGGGCATCGGAGAGTGCCTCGGAAGGTACACGGGGTTTATGTCGCATCTCACTGTAAAATAGCAGACACGGTATTATATAAATATCTATGACCAGAATTAAGTACAAACACACAAGATAAAACATTGCGATCCCATAACGAGGTTGAAACTAGTTGAATATATTTATCAGTAGCTAAAGTAAAGAATAAAGAAAGGGGTGGGAGAACACAACGCATTCTACTGAACACCGAGGAAGAGAGAACACTGCACGACTATTCCGTCGTAGGCGTGTCGCAAACTTAGCAGGCCTCTTCCTCATACACGCAAGTGCAAATAAGTGTCGTTTGTTTCGCAAACGAGACGAATAGACAGGAGCAAATAACTGGAGGCAGTGACTTCAAACGAAGACTTTTTGCAACCGTCACTTAGTTCTGACAACAAATGCAATAAGAACCAGTAGGACGCCGTGGTAAAATCAAGGTCGGTGCATGTGTGGTAGCCGACTGAGTGTAAAAATGAGGATGAGCTACTTTGTTGATCACAAAGTTCAGTGTCGATGTGTCATTTGAACTCAGATGGAGAGTGTGAACTACATAATCGTCGGGTGTGGCGAAATTTTATAGACCCAGGAAAAGTAAGTTAGCTTCCTTGTTAATATGTCAAAGCAGGTTAGGTGAGCTGAGTTATGTGGATTCGGTCAATGGTTTCATGCGCCTTCTAGAGCCAAATCTAGAAGCCCTAAAACAAAGGGGAGGGGCACAGAGCCAAAAAAAACAAGGAATAGAAAATTGAGGAAAGTCAGTATCACGCTCCTGCATCCGCTCGCTGAAGACACTTATACGTCGTGCTGCAGGCAGCAAGCACGAGAAATCAAGCAACCCGTTTCCGAGAACATAACAGTGCGCCGTTTTGGGCGAAAATGCTAACGGTAATATATGGCGGTTCAAGACGCAGTGTGTTTTGACTGACTGTACCGAACTAACCCGACCACGCGGCACTACGAAGAGATCATGACAAGGACAACACGTGGCCATCCGAAAAACGACTCCAGTTTGGATTGAAGAAATGTAAAGTTCTGAGCATACCTCATCAGCGTACTCATTAAGGTCGACTGGGTGAGCAACAACTGTAACATGCTACGCAAGAACGTGAGCTTGGGGTAATCGTGCAAGACGACCTTGGCTGTTGGAAACAGGCCAAAAGGCATCGAGAAAAGCCAGTCAGCACCTTGGCCTCCTACGTAGGGCATGCGGGAAGTGCAAGCTATCAATCTTTCTGCAAATGCTGGACGCCTACGTGAAGCCCAGCGTGGAATACGCGATCCACGCCTGGCGACCTTGGCGCAAATACGATGATGCTGCGCTCGAAACTCCACAACGTATCGCGATGAAAATCGTCAGAGGACTGCCTCACTTCACTTACCAGCACGGACTGCGAGACCTAGGCTTGTACAGCGGCGAAGATCGGCGTCGGCGAGACCTTATTATGGTGTACCAAATACTGGCTAACCCTAAATACGCCTATTGTGATCTGTTACAGGTCGGCCACAATACTAACTTGAGAGGTCACCAGTTCAAACTAAGCATATACCACAGTGTGATCAAAAAGGCCATTTGGCGCAGGTCACCTTAATGTTGACGGTTTAACAAATGCGATCTGAGTGCTTGTAGAGTCACAGAGAATGACAGTGGGATCTCAGTCTTTCATCGAAATACCAAGGTACGAAAAAAGCGGAATCAGCCTGCATACCACACCGACACTTCACTGTAACGCGATCACCAATATGTACACGAGGGCTGGGTATACAGCGAGGTTGGGCGTACCGGCGCGAATTAGAATCGGTGACCTTCGGAGTACTAGGCAGCCACTGGCCGACTGCGGTATGAGAAGTTTTGTCACATGACTGCAATTTATAACGCATTACGACAAACATGTTTGGGAGCTATCATGTACTGATCACAATAGTATTTGTAGCACTGCCGTCCTTGCATAATGACAACAACACATAAGTAACGATGACGGCCAGATTTGGATTCTCAAACCGGACAAAAGCTTCCGACTGCAGAACTACAAAATGTCACAACACAAACTCCGGTGGCTCGATCATGCAGTTTGCATGTCTGCATGGAGGATGCTTCACCATTCGCTAATAATATGCACTGAAGCCGGCTGGAATGGACTGCAGGATAGTAATATACCCACGGCATGGATGTCAAGAGATCAAAGTGGTGAGCAATGCGGTGCGCCGAACCGCAGGCTCGGAGACCCAAACAGTTTCCATCGGGTAAACAACCACACGAGTTCTTCCAGAATGGACCAAGAAATGCATAACCAATGAGAGAAGATGGTGCGTAAAACTCAGCAACAAGAAAAGTTATCTGATTCCAAAATATTTCCATATCACACACCCCAGAATACACATCTCACTCATGCATGAACATGATCATTATTGTACCAATGATCTGTCCACAATCAAGGGACAGCTTCTCGTACAATCGGGAAATGAACGTATCATTAGTAGTGTTAACACTTCTGATCGAAAATGCTATCGGGGGTGGTCAGTAATTGTAGTCAACGGCGCACATGTTCCGAGATGCGCCTTCTGTGATTACTGTCTTCCTTCCTTACGGTTTAGTGTCGTGAAAAGTTGCCAAAATTTCCATGCGCATGGAAGAGAGAAAATGATAGTGCAAAAGAGTAATTAAATGAGGTTCTTCGCAGCCAGTTTCCAAATCACCTAGTCGTGCACATGCCCGGAAAAACACTGGACTGCAGTTTCAGCCTGTCGGGCATAATCAGTAGTGCGCATTCATCGGATCCATCAGGATTCGAACCCATGATCACCAGAGGCTTGAACCGCCAGCTAGCAGCTTATGCCACTGGGCCACAGGGGACAGCTTCGGACCGTCGTGATTTATAAGCTAACTGCGATATAGTGCGTCATATCCTCCACTGCCATGCAGGTTACGAACGTTGCAGAGGACAGGGTTGGCCCCGAAATACACGACGTCCACTAACAGTAGCCATGTACGACATAGCATTTAGAAATTGTCAGGGCGGATATATCTCGATTTACTCAGGAGTAGAGGATTTTGATGTAACTAAGTGATCGTGGTTATGGGTTCGAATCCTGATGGATCCGATGGATGCGCACTACTGACGATGCCCAACAGGCTGAAACTGCAGTCTAGTGCTTTTCCGGGCATGTGGACGACTAGCTGATTTGGAAACTGGCTGCGAAGAACCTCACTTAATTAAATCAAAATCCCCTACTCATGAGTACATCGAAAAGAGCAATTATTTGCTTCTAGCAAAGCAAGCGAGGGATTTAAAGTGAAAACAGGTGGACACAAACGATCAGGTAGAAGAATGAGAATGAGGTTTCTCAAGATCCACCAGAACCAGTGACATGGTTGGAATGGTTAGAAGCAAAAGCTAAACTAATCACGCACTTACCCAAATGTCACAGCAACTTCAGGTAGTCTGTTGGAAGTGGATGGTTTCGAGTTATCATCGGACGGTTCTTTGATTGGTAGATCAGATGAGGAGTTGCGGCAGCCAAGGCCAAGACTCGGGGTGTCTGAGGCAGCAGTCAGTTCCGTTTCCGGCAACTCGTTCTGCTTTGCCAATTTTGCAGCGCGTGAGACTACATCAGAGGATATCGCAGCCACGCGTCCGGGAATATCGACGAAACTGCATCCGGAATTAGCTAGGGCACACACAATGTGGACCCAATAAGGATGTCCAGTGACGCGATTCACGGGGTTGTTAAGGCGTTTTAAAGCTCCACCACGAATGTAACAGAGGATACAAGTCTGGGGACCAGAAAATAATTTAGTAACCTATTTAAGATGGCACCTGATGTTTGATGGTAAGATATATGGAAAATATGATATACATGTAGGAAAAAAAGGTTGTGAGGAAGAAAATGTGACGAAAAAGGGCAACAGATGCGCATAAAAACCATCTCATATAGTCTCAAAGAGAAGAAATAACGCAACGGTCGAAAACTGGTGAAAAAACGCACGTTGAGGCCGAGGCTTCATATGCACCCACCAAGCAGCATACGAGGATACCGGTACAAGATTGCAGTACCGGATTCGATGCAGATCGCTCACCAATTCTGTTTCGAACGGAGAGTGGTGAATAGACGGAACAACTTGCCGCCGCACATATTCGAAGCAAAGTCGGTTTTGGAATTCAATAAAATTCAGCGACAAACACTGCCGATTTGAAATAGTGGGAAAGGGTCAGTATAGCTGAGGGCTTTTGCATGTAGCTACACAGGGATATCTCTTTTTGTTGCTTCCGTACAGTAACCAGTAATCGAAAAGGCTTCAATTGGGTTCATTTAAAGCATCTGTTAAGTGACTGGGGTGTGATACGCAATTAAAGACGCAGTGACGTAGGAGCAAAGGCACCAGCCGGTGGTCGTGATTAGGTCCTCAGTTGGAACCGCGACGCCACCATCGCCAGCTTAAAAGTGAATCGCGATTACTATTTCCGATTAGGCAGATGGCCAAAAGGATTGCACTCTTGGCTTGCAACCTTTAGGTCGACGATTCCAATCCGCGTAGGAACGGTCGTCCTCGTGGTATACTCAGCCCACACGCGACCGGTGGCAGTTGCGTGACAGCAATCTTACGAAACACAATGGGAGTTCGTAGAAGTAACGATTAAACTTCATACAATAATCTGCCTCGACGGGGAATCGAACCCCGGTCCCACGAAGTACCGGTCCGTTGCTCTAGCAATGAGCTACCAAGTGCTGACGATCAGGTGCGCAATTTTAATACATGACTTCTGCTTGGTGCGTGACGTATTGCCAATGAGCTCACAGTATCTGTCCTGGTGTTGCAGATTGGCTCACTCACTCGTCACTTCCCAATGGACCGAAGTATCTGTTATTCTGATGTCCAGAGGGCGATGGTAGATTACTTGTGGATTTTTTGTGTGTGAGTTGTGTAATGTTCGTAGAAAGTAGAAGTCACGATTAAACTTCACACAATAATCCACAAGTAATCTACCATCGCCCTCTGGACATCAGAATAACAGATACTTCGGTCCATTGGGAAGTGACGAGTGAGTGAGCCAACCTGCAACACCAGGACAGATACTGTGAGCTCATTGGCAATACGTCACGCACCAAGCAGAAGTCATGTATTAAAATTGCGCATCTGATCGTCAGCCCTCGGTAGCTCAGCTGACCGGAAATTCGTGGGACCGGGTTTCGATTCCCCGTCGAGGCAGATTATTGTGTGAAGTTTAGTCGTGACTCCTACTTTCTACGAACATTACACTACTCACAAAAATCCAAAATGGGAGTTCCAAAATAAACCGAAATAATTTAACTTCCTGTTGAGTTGAAATTGCCTCCAGTGAAATGCATTTCAACTAAGCCGGGCCAGATAGCTCTAGTTGGAAACTCAACGGCAGCTGATTCACAGTTTGAAGATCATTCAGTAGTGCGTAATCCCTTAAGTCAGTTAGTATGTATAGCACCATTTCAAAACAAGCGACCGTCATCTATAGTGATGCATACTAATGACCGATGCAGAGAACAAATTGGCCGACTAGTTCCTTCTTCACAATGTTACCGAACAACGTCGGAAGTGAGTTAACTGACAGCTACCTTGACAGTGACGAAAAAATACGAATATGAGGAATAAAGAATACGAAAATAAGTGAAGTGCGCTGAAAAATAACTACTAGATCGGACAACGATGAACAAAAGTATGGACGCAAGTGTCAAATTGTTTTCCACTGTATGGTTCTTGATGACTTGTGCAAGCCTCAACGCAAAGTATGTTGTGCCCATGCAGGAAAAGATGAAGCGACAGTTCGATTGAGTCACTCAGTTACTTATTGGCTTCTGCAAATGTGATCTAATGGTAGTATCCGAATAGCCAGAGCAGTCCCCATAATCCCATACATCGATGTTAGAACGGCTCATTCGCGTGAGCAGGTCAGGGACAAGTCGGAATAGACTGATACCCAAACAATTGTACAAGATAACCTTCGGCAGCTTTGAAAACCACAATGGCAAATGACAGCAGCCGATAAGAGGGTACTTCCTCTTTCAGCCAAATATCATCGAACGGAGTAGCTAAAGCACACGAAGTCACTACCATCCCTTAGTAAAGACGGTAGAAGTTAGTCCGAGTTAGGTACCTTAATCCGTAGTCCAGTAGTCGTAACCGCGGAGTAGTGACAGTCGGGTTGCGGGTTCTGGCCCCATAGGGGCCAGGTGGAATGAGCACTGTTGACGATTCGCGAAGGAAGAAACGGGCGTAAAGTGCTTTTCTGAATGTGGGATGGCTGTATGATTGAGTCCGGATGTGATAAAGTTTTAGTCATTCATAAACATTGTAATCAGCACGCGGACCGAACTGCTCAAGTGGCAGTTTATATTTGGTAAGTTCGTCGCGTGGTGAGGTGGCCACCTTCTCATCTGCATGGAAGTGACGTACAAGTCAGCAGATAATGAGTGGCGCTATATCACATCTAGTGACTTAGTCACTATGGTCGTTACCGTCCCCTGTAGCTCAGTGGTCTTCACCACCGACTGGCAACAGACGAATGCGCTCAAGCCCTTAGGGGTCCAGGTAGAGCGCACATTCTTGACGATTCCTAGAAGGATGAAACGGCTGTGCAGTACATTTCCGGGTGTGCGACGTCAGTCTTACTGAGTCTAGATGTGGGGAACTTCTACGTATACCATTCAAACCTCAGTCCTCTGTAATACTAATCTGTGTCAGATATCTTTGATTGTGGGAGGTGTTTTGTCAACCTCTCAGGTTGATTCAGGTGGATCAAAAAGCATGGGGAGTTGTCCCTCGTGCTGAAGCACTAGCTTCAACTACGATCATCCCCTAGTCAATGACCGATTCTTCTTCGCATTAATCAGGAAGCAATCAGGTAGCAAACTAAAGACTACCACAACCTACGGCAAAGCAAATATATCACGTACATCGCGTACTTAGTTTTGATACGGTTGTTCTGAAACTATCGAGTCACATTGTAGAGGGGCCGCTCCCAAGAATGCTTCGGGGGAGCTCTTCGGAGCTAGCTGAGAGCGGATCGAGAAGGACGGCTAGCGACGAGCCCAGGCCCAGAACTACGGAGCGGGAATATGTGGACAGCGCAATAAATCAGACATATACGCCGCTAGCGCAGCCCACAGGACCGAGGCCGAGCCGATTGACACAGCCCAGAACAAGCAAGTCGAGAGCTCTCGAACGACTACTGGCCGATCCAAATCGGGTACAAAGAAGTGGAGATCGAGACGAAAACAGGAAGGCGGGTCTTCCAAGTCACAGCTCCCGAGGCGAAAGGACTGGCTCGTCTCTAACATCCGTTCCTGTGTTGCGTTGTGGGACGGAAATCTAGTCGATATTCGATGGCGCGCGTGAGACTCTAATGTGCCCATTTTCGGTGTGCAATAAACGTCTACCCCCCTCCGTCGTGTCGTTTTCGCTACAACATGAGTAGAAGTTCAACTGTCATGCACTGCACAAGGGCCCACGAATGTGAACTATCCGTCGTCGTCGTACTGGAAACAGAATATTCGAAGGACCCGTGAACCTGCTAAAATCCAGAAAATTCACTACCAATCACAAGAACAATGTGGCTAAATAGACCACCAAGCGTGAGATAAGGAGACTACGAGCTGACAATGAGGCTTGGTGAAATCGGAGGGATTTGGAGATGGAGTAAGTCGACTTTCGAATAAAATCCGTAGACTTTAACCAACTAATCAGCGTCAATGACCCCCAGGAAAACATCGGTAATGAGAGTCTCAACTGCATCGTCCAAGACAAACACCGCTAGACCCATCACGAGGAACGCATATAATAATTGCCCAGACGATCTATCGTTCCTGAGCCTCTTCGTGACTAGGCTACATACTGAAAACCGCGAGTTGTAGCTTAGGTACTACAACTGCTAAGAAGATTCGAGGCGTCGTTACATCCCCAGGTCAGGTTTCGCGCTAATGAGAAAAATGCTATCGTATTCGCACACACTACCGGTGGCGAGAGGTCATGCGAAGAAATGATTCCGATGGCGAGATTATGTAGGAAAAGAGAAGACATCTAAACTAACTACAGCGAAGGTACGATGATCTAAAAATGCAGCCAAATCGCGATCTTGAAGTGGATAGCGACAAAGTTTGAATCTTAACCGCCTATGCTAGTTAAGCCATGTCCTCTGTATGCCAGTTGACCGGCTTCCTCCGTATGCATTATACGCCGTGGCTGCACCAAGTTGGGCCAGTCCACGTGGCATTATGGGATGAAGAATTTGACTGAGACTTGGTCAAGCGGGTGAGTGTCGTCTTCGTTTATGTGGGACTCGGGATAGTCCACAACAATGGTTAGAGACCGTATATGACATGGCGCAGTCACGTAGTTAGTGACGTTCTTGCATTCGGTTTGTTTCATCTGGTCGTTAATTTTCTTTCTATCCCGATTGGTTTAACACACTACCTTCTTGCTGCTATTTTCTTGACATACTATTTGCACTTAACCCCACTAGTTTGCCATTGTTATTTACTGTTATTCCTACGATTTGAGTCGTGGATCCACCGCACTTTAGTGGATCAAATGAACTGACATGAAGGACAAAGTTACCGGACCCTACGTTCACAGTACGGAACAAAATTCTATAATGAAAAAGATCAGAGAAGTATTCGTTTCAGACAGGGCTGCCTTGGCTGGAAAACATCGGCACTAAGAGTACTGTAGTATGACCGGACAATGATCAAAGCAACAAATGTATAAGACAGCAGAAGAAAATTTACCCGAAAAACAGAAAGTTGGGGAAAAAACAAAATGACGGTGACGAAATGTGTTGAGACTGTTTCCAACAAAAGGTAAAGCGAGCCAACTTCCTCTTCATCGTTTCAAAAACGCGCTACTGTTAACGTGATTCTTAATTATTAGTAAAGTCACGGTTTCAACCAACAAATAGGGTATTGGGGCTAACAAGAGGTAGCAAACTTTATCAAGGAACGCATTACGTACCACGTTTCCGTGAAAAGCAATTGATTCGGCGAAAGACTGGTGTAGAGAAAGCGTTTTAGTGGAATATAAGAGTTGAACACAATCAATCAAGATTGACAGAAGTGGGGAAGAAAAACTCACTCCGAGAGTTGTTGGAAAATAAAAGAATTCAAGTAAGTGGAAAACGTGTGGCTGTATCTTTTCTGAGCAAAGTGCATCCAAGCCGCTTTGAAATTCATCCTTGAGGAAATCAAGTTCCAATATGGAACTCTCAACACGATCCATAGCGCTATGAAAATGCATTCAACGGGCGCGAACGCCTCTAAATGATACAGCTCATTGAGTGGCCGAGCGCAAAATCACGCAATAACATCCCGCTCCGTGCACTGGTCTGTTACACTATCTGTTGAGTTGGGAGTGGTCACTCAACGAACAAAACGCAATTTTCAAAAGTGTTTGTGCCCATTGGATGCAATCTGGTAACGCACATGACCATCTTGAGAGATCTATGGAGAAACGTAATTTCACTAAGGAGAAGTTGAAAGCACTATGGATGCTATTGGGTGAAAAAAGGTATAATCATAGAAGTGACGAAAAAAAGGACTGGCGTTCAGGAAAATGGTAATCATAAAAGCCTTTGGAATTTCGACACTCTGAGATAACTCACGGGTCTCGTCGCAGAACAACATGCATCGCAACACCAGCGCATGATGCGAGGAGTCAAACATAAGGATGAATTCGCAGGTTCTGATAAACGGGGACCTTTCGCTGGATCGACGGACTGCTGCTCGAGGTGCGAAACTGGGATACCGTAGCAACTGGCATGCACCGTCAACTTACAACGAGAACACTGCACAATTGGGCACCGTCGTTCAGATGGATGGTGGATGGAAAAATCCTCAGTGCTGTTTTGTGAGATATAGGCAACCTCAGGTATGTACGGAACACCATCCGATGGGATCACATTAGTGGGTGTCTCGGAGGAAAGCACTTTCCCGAGGAACTAAAAAACGGACCAGAGTGTGATGTGTATGCTGTACGAAACCAGAGTCGGGGCATTTGAAATGTGAGTATTCACTAAAAGGAAACCGACTTTAGCACACACACACACATATAGCGCCAAAGCTAACGGTTAGAAGTGAAATAGTGCCAGTATATTACTGTCGTATGCCGTGCAAGAACGGCTGAACTAAAGATGAGAACGAAAAAAGCAAAAAACCGTATGTCAGGAACGAAAAATTAGAACTATCAGACACTAAAAAAGCACACCCTGTTAGCAACATGTGGATACAGCAGCTTATTGTGTGTTGACATAGTAGTTTGAAATACACATGTTTAAAGCATTTAGAACTTCCTACCATCCACTCTGCTCTGATAACCAGGTAACCAGTAATACACTTGCTCGGACAGATAAAGCAGTAGCCCATCATCAGTATCATCAACAGCAGTACATCAGCCAGTTGAACTTATGCTTCGCTGCCATACAACCATAGCGACCTACGGAAAGAAGAAAAAGAAAGAGAGAAGGGAGACCTACTGGAAAACGTTAATGTTCTAAGCAAACATTCGGAGTCAAAGCGCCTATACCTTGTACACAATATACAATCACAGCTGCGCCGTGCATGACGACCGAGGTCCTATTCCACTGAAGCTCAGTGTCATTAGAACAAGACAGCGAAAGTTCGGTACGCAGTGCAGCTTGGTAGGTTTGCCTGACCGAGGGCTGAGACAATTTCCCAGTTGCCAATCGGGGGAGACGCTTGATAAGCCCCCCCCCCCGTAAAGTCCATGGAAAAGCGACAGCGAACGAAGGCATGATCAGAGTCGACGCAAGTACTCCAGAACGAGCGACAATGCAGGATAGAACTACGTCACCTGTAACTTATGGCAATGCGAACTATTTCGCCAGCTAAAGGAGGGCGCCAAGTGGCACATCGGCGCCCAGTGTCTGAACGCAGTGCTACTAATAAACAGCTGGTGCTCCGCACACAGTTGTAAAACACGCTCGCCGTTGTCCGTACGGTTGGAGTTAAGCCCATAGTTATAACCTAGCTGAGCTTATGAAAAGTCCAGGCGATTTACTTGTGAATTCATATCCCCTGCAAGTATTATGTTATCTGAACGGGTAGCACCGCGTAGTAGCGTATTCAGTTTACGGTAGAATGTGTCCTTCGCAACATCAGAACTGCAGTCGATGGGAGCGAAAGCGGAAACCACAACCAAACAGCGTCTTGTAGTACTTCGTGAGGCTCCTCTAGGTACTACGCTAGTGCACGCCATTCAACTACGCACTGATGATGTCAACTCGATTGGTGACGAAACGTTCGCAACCAAATCGCCAAGCTCAGCGAACAGTTCAACAGCCATCTGAACAACATGGGTTACCAGACTTTAATTCTATAGTAGTGTAAGTGGAAATTGAATGCGAACGACGAGGCAAAATGAGGAAAGTTATAGTTAATGTACTCTGTGAGAAAAGTGAAAACGAGAATACTCACTTCTGTACCGCCTCCTCAAGTTTATGTGACATATTAATCCGGTTTGAAGGGATAATTAATTTATTCCAAAGTAGTACAGTTTAGGTAACGAAGTGATGGGGGCAAAGAGCAAGATTCAATCGTCTGCTAAAAATATTCAAAATGGCGGAGGAAACAACGAAGTTTGGGAGAATTCCAGGGTTGGCAGACCCAAAGAGAAAAATAATTCCGCCGGCATTTGAGGTGGCTATACTGTTCACACAATTCCAGAGATTGGTATTATGGCTGAGTTTCAGTAAGTGACGGCATACGTGAGTAGGGTCACTCAATATTCGATAGACAAACAGGAGATCGTCACGCAGGCTTCGGTAGCGGCCACTGAAAACACCCAGTGACTTTAGTCGGTGCTGGTATGACAGATTTCGTAGACCCTTGACGTTTATTGTGCCCTTGCGTTGTGATTTCTCTAGTACTTCAAGTTGCGCTGCAACCAAGGTTGCCAAGCCTGGATGGCGTATTCAACGTGAGGGCGAACGTAAGAATTGTGCACCATGCGAAAGATGGATGGGTCGAATTTCGCGAATGATCTCCGGAGCAAGCCGACGTGCTGGTCGGCTCTTTTCCCAGCTGCCTCTGGCTGTTTTGAAGAGTTAAGGTCACTTTGAATGAGCACACCAAGGTCGCGTTCTTGGGAAGTTGTTTGCAATATATGTGACCCAAGCATATAGACGCATTCATGCCTACGGCGCAATTGGACAGCGTGACATTTTGTCACATTGAACAGCAGGGTATCCAGAACTGACCAGTTGGAAATTGTGTTGAGGTCACGCTGGAGCTTTTCGTTGTCGTTCGGTTTTTTGATCGTTCGCCATAGCTTGATATCATCCGCGAAGAATAGGAAAACGGAAGTAATTTTCCTCGCCAGATCGTTTATGAAAATCAAAAATAGCCGGGGCCCGTGCACCGAGCCTTGTAGTACGCCGCACACAACTTCAATTGCGTCGGATAGGGATCCTCGTATCCTCACCTTCAAACGAGGTTTTTGCAGGAAAGTGCCTATCCAACGTAGCAGTGGGTCACCAGTGCCATAAAGCCATACAGTTTATGGAAGAGAATTCGATGGGCTAAGCGATCAAATGCTTTTGAGAAGTCCAGGTAGATGACATCGACTGGTGCTACACCATCAACTGCTTCAGTCCAACTATTGCATGCAATTAGCAGGTTCGTAGTGCATGAGCGTTTCTGTCGGAAGCCATGCTGCTCTTGAGCTATCTCGTTGTGATTGTCCACATCCTGCATGAGTGTATCAGCGATGATAGACTCCATAGTTTTGGAAAGCACGAGGATTAGCGTTATAGGATGGTAATTGATTGAGTCAGTGCGACTAGCTCAATGATGAATAGTAGTAATGATCCCACGCTTCCATAATTCTCCTCCATACAGCGCTGTTGGAATATAGCCAGAGGTTCCGCCAGATCATTGGCTGCTGCCTGTAAAGCTTTCGGTCGAATGTCATCGACACTAGGAGAGCTATGGATACGCAGAGACAACAGTTTCTTCGACATAGTTCCTGCAAAAGAGTGATAATGGATGAAACTGACGGTGGGACAATAGGAAAAGGGATAATCATTGGGCCTGTCACTCTTTGGAACGTTTGTGAGGAATGGAACCGTCAGAAAACTGCTGCTTCCGTTACTGATCGCGTGCACCGGTCAGTTGCAATCAGCGCAGGAATTCCGCGTTGTACCTCTTTGGAGGTTAGAAAGTGGTCCATGGCCTTCTTCACATAAAACCTAGCCATAGGAGAAAACAGGTCTATGGGTTATATGCTCACAGTTCGATTAGTGTAGAGCACGAGCGCCACACATTGCCTCTGACGGTGAGAGGGCACTTCCGGGGGGTCAATGGTTTGCTACTGCCCGCCTCAAGCCAGACAGCCCCATAGCAAATGGGTGCAAACCCGCCAAAAAAACACACCTGCGTCTGGCCGTGGTCGCAGGTGCATATACTACCACGGTTGCAAAATATACATGAATTGTTGCAGATCTCCAAAGGATGAGTGTGATGGACCTCAAGCAGATTCCAATCTGTCTCTGCAATCACATTCCCGAGCTGGATCTGCTCCCCACTGCCTTGCGGGTCAGGCTATTGAGCCAAAGGCTCCGGGTGGTGTCCCCCAAGCAAACCTCCAAGGCACATCGCCACCTCACGTGCGATTGCCCACCAATGCAATTGTATAACTGCGCGCAAAGCACTAAGCATTGGGTGCTGAAACGTGCGCACATTACTGGACCGGAATTCGAGTGAGCACCCCGAGCGACGCACTGCACTGGTCATGATGGAACTGGTGCGCTAGCACATCGATATTGGGGCGCTCAGTGAAACCCGACTCGCTGAGCAAGGTTAGTTGCATGAGGCAGATGCTGGCTACACATTCTACTGGGTGGGCAACGTCACCACATCACCAAGTGAACATAAGAGCGGATTTGCAATATCCGATCGCCTAAATGGCCAGCTAGTGGGTGAACCAACAGGCATCCGCGCGCGACTGATGACTATTCGCCTACGACTAGGAAGAGGTAGGATTGTCACTTTCATAAGCACGTACATGCCGACTATGTGTTATCCTGATGACACGCGTGACCAATTCCCAACTCAGCTATCTTCCGTGATACGGTCTGTGCTGAGGAGCGACCGACTATTTCTGCTGGATGATTTCAATGCGCGCGTTTGGCGTGGTGCATCGGTGTGAACAGATGTCACCGGTCCGCATGGCATTGGTTCAACAAATGCGAAGGGTGACAGGCTGCTCTCACTGTTTGCCACTCACGGCTTGACGATCACGAACACTCGGTTTGTACTAAGTGCGAGTGATATAGCAACTTGGACGCATCCACGGAGTGGCCACGCTCACCTGCTCAACTATGTCATCGTACGTAGGCGTGATATGCGGGAAATGGGTATGACACGTGTACTGCGTGGAGCTGAGTGTGGCACTGATCACAAAATGGTTCGGACCAAACTGTACATATATATTCGTAAATCGATGTATTGCACTCCCGCCGTGAATCGGCGTAAATTTAACATCCTCTCCCTCGGTACTGTGGAGAGACGTATTGAGCTGGAAAAGGCGATGGTGGCACGCCTGTGTGATGTGGACTGCATAGCACACACACACGCGCGCGCGCACACAGACTGCAGACATAATGTAGTTGTGGCGAAATCACTTTGACTGCCTATTGAACGGCCTCAAGCAGCACGAGGTGATGAGCCTGGCGGACATGCCGACACTGGATGAGACGCAGACAGCACTCGCTCAGCTGTGAAACGACAAGTGTGCTGGTGCCGGCGGGATCCCGCCTGAAGTATTGAAACACGGCGGACCCGCGTTGGTGACTGCGCTGCACCACTTGGTGCAATGAGTGCAGGTTGAGGAGGAAGTGACTCTTAAGCTGAAGGGTGCCATTGTGTTACCACTGTACAAGGGCAGAGGGAGCAAGCAACATTGCACGAATTATCGTGGCAT